TTTAAATATACTCACACCTTTCCCATTTTCTCTCTTTTTTTCTTTTTGATTTAGAGTGATTTGTATTTGTCAATAAGTGTGAAAATTTGACATGTTTCCTATTTTTTTTCTCACTTTTCTTTCAAACAAAAAAACATTCAAAATTTCTTTTCTTTCTACATTTCCATTTCCTCTATTCATCCTTTTACTTTTCCATTATACCAAGCACACCCTAAAAGAAATTAATAATGATTTCTCTTTGTTTCCTTTGTATACTAAATTTAAAGGAGAATTTTCATAAGATCAATGAAATTATTGAAAGTATGGAGATTTTGAACTGTCACATGCAACACTTTCAACATGCCTACATATAAAGTTAAATAATAAAAAAAAGAAGAAAATTTTGCAATATATATATAAAATAGAAATCATTAATTATATATTTAAATGCAAATCATACATAATGTATGCCCTAAATTGGAATGTTAAATAATGCAAAGCAGTCCTTAAATTGGATGTAGCAATTAGCCTTAGCTTTAGTTGATTAGCTTTTTATCTCTCGTCATTGACTAGATGATAGTTGATCCAATGTAATGTTTTCATCAAGTTGCTCATATCTGCCTCCAAACTTTTTTTTATCCTTAAATTATGATCTCTCTTGTATGCATAAAAAAGTATATAAGTATGATTAATGAGATATTAGAACCTTAAATTTCCTTAATCTTCTACTTAACCTTAATTAAAACGTGGTTTAGTTTTTTATTCTTGCATCATTTGTTCTAAAAAAATGTCCTTGAATCATGACAAATTGTTATTGTTTGAGATTTCATCTAAAATCAAAGATGAAAAGGAAAACAAAGAAAAAAAAAATAAGAAAAGATGAGCGAGCTTCCACAAGAAACATTAAATATAATTCATCAGAGCACATGGAAATACTAAAAGTCACTGCTTTCTTCCACCTTAAACAAGTAAAATATATAATTACCTTAATTTTATCTCATCACATCTCATCATTATTCATTTATATATTCAGATCAGTTCTTGACAGCAAGAAAATCCTATGCTGCCAATAGATATTTTAATCAAGCAAACTTTTTAACATTTAGGATATGCAACTCCACAAGTGCTAGCAACCCTTTTGGAGTTGGGATTGTCGACAAACTGTTTAAGAGTTGGGTTCTTAAGGTACCCACAAAAGCATGGCTGCTGCTCCTTCAGCTTGCTGCAACAAGTGGCTGATGGAGGCTTTGAAGACGTGATCGCTGCCAAGCAGGGGCTGAGCTGCGAGGCCTCACATGTCACTGCTTCCGCCGTGCGAGTTTCACCTGAAAATAGGAGCACTACCAGCGCCACTGCACAGAAGGAAACAAAGGAAAACCTATTCATATTTTTCACACACAAAATGCTAACACTTGTGACAAAAAATAATAAAGTTGATTTGTATTTGGTGCATTTTTGGGTATGAGCTGCGACACATTTTATAGGACTTGGGATTGTTATTATTGTTGTTTCTTTAGCCCATGATTGACGGTGTCAATAAGTCAAGTCTTTTGCTGGCCTAAACTTGAAAAATGCGGGTCCTTGGGGGAATTGAAGAAGGTAGATTTGCACATCCCACCATTGCACGACGGGATTTTATGCTTACATTTAATGTAGAAAAATTTTGTTATAGCCCCGCTGTACTTCCAATTGAAGCATACCATTTATGATTTTTGTAATATAATATAATATAATTAATTAATTTTTAAAATTAAGTGATTTTCATCAAAATTTTATATCAAACTTACATGTATGAATGGTGAATTCTTATACAATTTTGTATTTATTATAATTACATAATTGTAAAATTAATAAAATAATTATAAAAAAAAAACTAAGCTAAGGAACCTGTAAAATTATCACAATCTGCTTAGAGAATATCTAACAAGATAAACAAAAAAATAGTTATAATAAATACAGATATTGTGATGTCCAAATTGTGGTATAACCTCATCCTTTTTTGGTGTGGCCATGATTTTATTTATAATAAAATAATAATAATAATAATAATAAAATAATAATATATACATTAATCGATAAATATAAAAAAATATTGATAGATAAATAAAAATAATAATAATAGATAAGTATAAAAAATATGCATTAATAAATAAATAATAAAAATAATATTAATGGATAACTAATAAAAATATATATATTATTAGACATAAAATATATATATAAATAATAAAAAATAAAGATAATAAAACTAAAAATAAAATGAGTCATTTTGTCTTATTTGGACCAAGCCCAATTAATCTGGACCTGAATCAAATTAAGTGTCTACAATATTAATTTAATAAAAATATTATACTTATATATAATTAATATATAATTTATTTTAAAATAAATTTTTATGTATATAATAAATTAAAATCATTAATTAAGTTCAAATTGAATGCAAGTTTGAAGTTGGATTATACAATATATATCGGGTCAAATCACGTAGAATTCTTTAAGAGTCGAGTTGGCGTTGAAGCAAGCAAAAATCTTCTTGATTCGATCCATTACTATATTTATTACAAAATTTTTTTTTTGTCATTCAAGTAATATGTAATTAATTTATTAAAAATTTCAAACAAATTTTTTATCAAATCTTTTTAGTTTTGAGTAAATATCGCCAACAATATACTTACAATTCTCAAATCACTTATTATTTAACAAACAAGTATTCTGTTGTCACCAGGTCTTTGAGTATAACAACACAAGTGCCCAGAATTCTTGTTCAAGGCAGGAAACTTGGTCTCTACTTTTGCAAAAGATGAAAGAAAATATCATGTGAAACATAAGTATTTAATTCCCTAGGTCAAATAACTTTATCTCAGTTTCAGATTATGCTAAGTTTCCTAATAATGGAAGAGTGGACTATTATTCAATGAATTGGACCTTTATGAACCTGATAATATTGATTCTAATGTTATAGTTGCCGATCAGGAAATGAAAATTAATGCACGTGTAAATGTCCTAAAATTGCTCATTCGTCCTTGACTTTGCCTCTAGACGAAACCCTACTGTTTAAAAGCTAACTTTCTGAAATGATATATTGCAAAGAGAAAAGAAAGAATGGCAGAAAATTTCACTAATTGATTGTTTTGTCATTTTAACCTTCAGAGTTTACCACAAGACAAAATGAATCAATTTTGACCTTCAGCGGTAAAAATGTCGATGTGATCTTAATTTGAAATGAGGATCGATACCGTTAATTTTTTTTATATTACTACGTAGTAAAAACTATGGTTACCTAATGGCTAAAAAATTTGATTGATGTTTAGTTAAAAAATTGGTTTTGGTCTTTTTCTTGTTTTAGTTTCTATGTTAAAAGTGTTAGAAATAGTCTTTTCTTTATAGTCTGATGTGGAAGAACAAATGTTGACATGGAGTAATATTATTGGATAAGCATACAGCTGAGTTTGTAGGAAGGATTTATATAATAATTTATTTTATTTAATTTTGATTCAATTTTAAAATAATCAAAGGATGAAATTTTTTGTGAAATATCTTTAGAATCTTTCTTTGCTTCCTTACTAAATACTGTTTGTGGTATCAGTGCAGGTTAATTATTGCATATTTTGAAGTAATAATTTTGTTCCATCATCCTAACTTTTGCATAAAAATATTGGGATAAATTTGGAATATAGCGCAAAAACTTTTTTTTTTTTTTTACTTTTTATAATTGACCTGCTTTCTTTCTTATCATTGAACTACTTTTTTTTTTTTTTCCTTCTTAAATTAGTATTATCTTTAATCAGTATTAGATCACCCTTTGCTTTTTCCTTAAAGTTTCCTTCTTTATTATTGAAAATTAGGTTAAGAATGTAAATACATCAAGGCCAGATAAAAAATGAAAACATAAAAATTGGGAGAGAGGAAAAGTAGAAAAGTGAAAAACATTTTTTTTTTCCCATTGGTGTGTATTGTGCTTGATTGGAAAAATAAAAAATAAAAAAATGTATTTTCTTTCTATCCATTGCTTGGTAGAATTAATGAAAAATGAAAAGTAAAAATATAAAAACTATATTATTTTACTATTATAACCTTTTATAAATTAAGATAAAAAATAAAAAATCTAAATATTATAGACAATCTTTTAAATATACAACACATTCTCACATTTTTCTCATTTTCTCTCTTTTTTTTTTTTTTTTGATTTACAATGATTTGTATTTGTGAATATGTGAAAAATTGACATCTTTCCTGTTATTTTTTCTCACTTTTCTTTCACACAAACCACATTCAAATTCATTTTCTTTCTACATTTCCAGTCCCTCTATTCATCCTTTTACTCTTCATTATACCAAGTACACCCTAAAAGAAATTAATAATGATTTCCCTTTGTTTCCTTTGTAAACTAAATTTAATGGAGAAATTTCGTAAGATACAATGAAATTATTGAAAAGTATGGAGATTTTGAACTGTCGTATGCAACACTTTCAACATATCTAAATATAAAGTTAAATAATTAAAAAAAAAAGAACATTTTCCAATATATATATACAATAGGAATCATCAATTATATATTTTAATGCAAAGCTTACGTAATGTATACCGTAAATTGGAATGTTAAATAATGCAAAGTAGTCCTTAAATTGGACTGTAGCAATTGGCCTTAGTTTTAGTTTTTAGTTTATTAGATTTTTGTTTCTAGCCTTTGACTAGATGATGGTTGATCCAACCTACTGTTTTAGTCAAGTTGCTCACTTCCGTCTTAAATCTTTTTTTATTTTTAAATTATGATTTTTGTTGTATGTATGAAAATGTATATAAGTATGATTAACGAATTATCGAACCTTAAATTACCTTAATCTTCCCCTTAACCTTAACTAAAACGTTGTTTAATTTTTATCCTTCTATCATTTGTACTAAAAAAAATCCTTAAATCATGAGAAATTGTTGTTGTTTGAGATTTCATCTCAAATCAAAGATGAAAAAAAAAATAAGAAAAGATGAGCCATTTTTCCACAAGAAACATCAATCATAATTCATCACAGCACATGTACCACTTTCTTCATCCTTAAACAAGTAGAATATATATATATATATATATATATATATATATAATTATCTTAATTTTATTTCATCCCATCACATCAGTATTCATTTATTCAGATCAGTACTTGACAGCAAGAAAATCCTATGCTGCCAATAGATACTTAATCAACCAAACTTTTAACATTTAGGATACGCAACTCCACAAGTGCTAGCAACCCTTTTGGAGTCGGGATTGTCGACAAACTGTTTAATAGTTGGGTTCTTAAGGTACCCACAAAAGCATGGCTGCTGCTCCTTCAGCTTGCTGCAACAAGTGGCTGATGGAGGCTTTGAAGACGTGATCGCCGCCAAGCAGGGGCTGAGCTGCGAGGGGTCACATGTCACTGCTTCCACCGTGCGAGTTTCACCTGAAAATAGCAGTAGCACCAGCGCCGCTGCGCAGAAGGAAACAAAGGAAAACCTCTTCATATTTTCCTACACAAAATACTAAAACTTGTGAAAAAAATATAATAAAGTCGAATTGTATTTGGTGCATTTTGGGCATGAGCTGCGACACAATTTATAGGAGTTGGGATGGTAATTATTGTTGTTTCTTTAGCCCATGATTGACGGTGTCAAACTTTCATGACTCACGAGTCAATGAGTCAAGTCTTTTGGTGGTCTAAAAGGTCCTTTGGGGAATTGAAGAAGGTAGATCTGCAAATACCACCTTTGCACAATTGGATTTAACGCTTACATTTAATGTAGAAAAATTTTGGTATAGCTCTGCTGTACTTCCAATTGAAGCATACCATTTATGATTATTATAATATAATATAATTAATTAATTAATTTTTCAAATTAAGTGATTTTCATCAAAACTTTATATAAAACTTACATTTATGAATAGTGAATTCTTATATAATTTTTTATTTGTTATAATTAGATAATTGTAAAATTATAATAAAATAATTATAAGTGAAATATTTTCACTTTAAAAAAAAACTAAGTGGAAAAACAAATGTTGACATGGAGTAATATTATTGGTTAAGCATATCGCTGACTTGGTAGGAGTAACCTATGTAATAATTTATCATAGTAGGAATAACTTATGTAATACTTTATCTTAATTTTGATTCAATTTTAAAATAACTATAGATGAAAATTTTGTGAAATATCTTTAGAATCTTTCTTTGCTTTCTTACCACATAGTGTTTTTGTTATCCGTTAACTTTAAATATTTGACCCAAATTAAATGTGTAGGTTTATTATTGCATACTCTTTTAAGGTAATTTTGTTCCATCATCTTAATTTTTACATAAAAATATTGGGATAAATTTGGACTTTAGCCCAAAAGATTTTTCTTTTTTTTTTCTTTTTATCATTGACCTACTTTTCTTTTCTTTTTTCTTCTTCTTCTTGTTAAATTAGTATTATCTTTAATCAATATTAGTTCACCCGTTGATTTTTCCTTCAAATTCCTTTCTTTGTTATTGAAAGTTAGGTAAAGATTGTAAAAACTTCAAGGCCAGATAGAAAATAGAAAGATAAAAATTGGAAGAGAAGAAAAGTAGAAAGATGAAAAACATTTTTTTCCTTTCCATTGATATGTATTGTGCTTCATTGGAAACATAAAAAAAATAAAAATAAATGTATTTTATTTGTATCCATTGTTTGGTAGAATTAATGAAAAATGAAAGGAAAGAACATAAAAATTATATTAGTTTACTATTATAACCTTTTATAAATTAAGATAAAAAGTAAAAAATCTTAATATTATAGACAATTTTTTAAATATACAACATATACTCACACCTTTCCTATTTTCTCTCTTCTTTTCTTTTTGATTTAGAATGACTTCTATTTGTGAATAAGTGTGAAACTTTAACACCTTTCCTAGTTTGTTTTCTCACTTTTCTTTCATGTGGACATCAATTTGTCCAGAAGAAATACAAAGTATGTATAAAATATGAAATACAATAAAAAATATAAAATACAAAAAAAATATGAAATAAAAAAAAACAAAACAGAACAAAAAAAATCAAGGATGGCAGTGGTACCATCCCCGGCACCACTGCCACCACCCCATCCTTCTGATCACCAGACCCTACACCCCATCCTTCTAATCACCAGACTCTACCCTCCACCCCTCAGATTAATCCTCCAATTGACAAACTACCAGATATAGCCAAAACTAATAAAAGAGGCATGAGCTCGTGCTTACACCAGTGCCGAGCCCCATGCCCTTCCCCCCAAACACACGGAGCTCTATAAATAGAGCTCCTAGCAAAAAAAAAAAAAAAAGAGAAGGAGAAAGGGAGAGACGCTGCAAAAAAAATTGAAAAACATACAAAAAAAATATACACAGTCCTTCCCGTTGGGAGGAACCCAATGTCAAGCTTCCTGCACGAAGAAGAAAAAAAAAGGAGTCAGTTTCAAAAAACAAGAGTCAGAACACAAAAATATATAGTTTCACCGAAACTTTCCCAGTAGATCTAAGGATTTTGGGACTTTTTTTGGTGAAAAAGAGGTCGGATCTGTGTTCAAGGGGTCGAGAGGAGTTTGTGAGAGATTTTTGGAATTTTTCGACAGCGTCGACGACGGCCGGAGCTCGCAGCCGGCAAGGACTGCAGTAGCTGTCGTGACGGATGGCCACCAGCCCCAGGTTGGCTGAAGAAGAAAAAAAAAAGAGGAATTTTTTTTGCAAAAACTGAATGAAATGAATGAAATTTTTTTTTTAACTTTTATATAAACCATCAGAACCAAAACGACACCGTTTAGACCAAAGAGGATCCGCGCGTCAACCCGCGATCCGATCCGGGGTCTGCGCACCCGACCCGACGACCCGCTTTTCCATCAGCCTCTGACCGATTCATCTAAATCGGAACAGACCGCCCAAACCGAACCGGACCGCGCTTGAACCGTTGCCAGACCGAGCCGAACTATCGGACCAAACCGTCAAACCGAACCGTACGTTGACCGGACCGTTGATCGATCCGATTCAAGTAAAATTTTTTTTTTAATTTTTTTATATATTATTTTATTAATATTTATGCATATTAAAATAATTATATTTGTTAGATTAAATGATGAAATTGTGGTTAATTTTTTTTATGTAATTATGTTAATTTTTAAAATAAACTTTAAAAACAATAATATAAAAATAAATTTAATAATAATAATAAACTAATAAAAATGTAGGAAAATAAAATTTTTATCCGACGATGAGATTCAAAGGTATTCCGAGTAGTGATGCCTACGAAATCTCTAGGTGAGAAGATTTTTTGTACCAGTGTATTGGAATATTTATAGAAAATCTTCAATATGATAAAAATTTCATTTTTCTTCAATTTTTTTAAATAAAAATTTCTTTTTTTATAATAATAAATAAAAATTGATTAATATATTAAAAATATATGTAATAAAAATAGGAAGGAAAGAAATTTAATCCAATAATGGGATTCTAAAAGTATTCCGAATAGAGATGCTTTAAGAAATCTCTAGGTGAGAAGATTTTTTGTAAAATATTACCAGCGTATTGGAATATTTATAGAAAATCTTCAATATAATTAAATTTCTTTTTCTTCAAAATTTTAATTTTAATTAAAAAAATTAATAAAACAATTAATAAAATTTTTGAAAAAGATGTGTGCATCAACATGTTATTATTTGCATTGCATACATGACATAATTTTTTACGAAAAGTAAATTTAGACCTCCCAAAGATTAGATTCTAAAAGTATTTCGAGTAGAGATGCTTTAAGAAATCTTTAGGTGAGAAAGAATTCTTTTAATGTTACCAACGTACTGGAACATTTTAAGAATTATTTCAATAAAAAGGTTTTAATTTATTTTTTTTCGAGAATAAATTTTTTTTAACATGACATTTTCTTATGAAAAATAAATTCGAGCCTCCAAAGATGAGATTCTAAAAGTATTCCGAGTAGAGATGCTTTAAGAAATCTCTATGTGAGAAAGAGTTCTTTTAATGTTACCAACGTACTGAAACATTTTAAGAATTATTTCAATAAAAAGGTTTTGATTTATTTTTCTCGAGAATAATTTTTTTTTAATAAATAAAAAATCAAGGAAATTATTTTTCGAATACTGAAAATAAGACTATTTTTAATCAAAATCAAAGGATAACACGTTGTTAATTGATACCATTTTTAACGGGCATTGTGGGGGTGCTAATCCTTCCCCACGCGTAACCGACTCCCGAACTCAAACTGTTTCACAGACCGTAAAATTATCTTTTTAATAAATTTTAATTAATTTTAAGATTTTATTAAAAAGATATGTTTTAATAGGTGGCCAATCACACCTAGCGAAAAAAGATTGATGACGACTCCGTTATTTTTTATTTTATTTTCAAATTCATCGGACGGACACAAAACCGTTACGACAGCTTGGCGACTCCACTGGGGATGCCTTTTATTTTCGAGAGTCAGGCTAAAATTAACTACTTGTTATCCTCAAATTTTGATTTAAACAGTTTTAATCAATTTCTTAAATTTTTATTTTTCATTTTCAGTAAAAAAGGTTAAAAAAACAAAAAAACAAAACAAATCAAAAATAAAAAGCAAAAAAATTCACACACATTTCTTTTACTATGCCTCTTATGTTTTATTTTTTTTGTATATATTGCTCTCAATAAATTAGGATATATTTGCACACAATGGCACGATGCATCTCATACATGAGCTCTATACCCGGGCTCTGTCCTTTATAGGAGGAAGTAAAGTACCTATGCTCTCATGAAGTGATAACCTCCGTAATGGCAAGCGAAATACTTCCACTCGAATTGAACCATTTTTCGTTTGTAGCCTGTGATGGGTGAGGATCAGGTTGCCTTACTAGTCCAACATGGACGATAGTGAGGAACAATTTGGGAACCTTTAGACCCTGTCAATCCAAACCCAACATATAATAAGCCTAGGAAACCAACCTTATGTAGAGCCCCGTCCACCTTCTTGTAGAAAATACCCAAGAATAAAAGTTGTGTATAATACGAAACAAAACAAAACAAACAAAAAAATCTCAAAACACAGAAACAAAACAAAAAAAAATAAAAAAATGTTTTTTTCTTAAACCACATCCTTACACTAACTCAATTTTGTTTCTTTTTTTTTTCTTTTTGCATTAATCATATCATATAGTTTTGCATCGAGATATTTGCTCTAAGACATATTTCTTCTAAGAAGTTTTCATGGATCCCATAGAACTACAAATTTGCTCATCCTCAGTCAGTGTGCCATGTGAGTCGTATAATGAAATACATGTTTGGTTGAAAGTCATGCTCGTAAAAGAGAGAAGAAAGCACTTCGAAGTATTGAATGAAAAAGAATCACTTCACCAGGTGATCCAAGGGTTAAAAATACAACTACAAGGCCACAAGAGTCATATTTCAGTAATGATAGATGAGTGGCATAGAAGGGAAAAAGATTGGATCTTCACATGTGATTCAGAAAGGGATGCCCACATGAGATAAAAGGCAAAAAGCT